GAAAGAGATTAATCAGGGGTACCTTATGGAAAATGTGGCCTGAGTTCCTCAACCAACAAGAAGCAAACATACTGTAGCAATGCAAAGACACTGCCAGGACCCACGTGAAAATCAGGACTTTCTCTGCCTGATACCACCAGATGTCTCATCCCTGGGGTCTGAAACAGAGATAGATAAATGTGAGAGCATTCCAGTGACATTTTTACCTTGTTTATAAGGTCTTTCTTCTGCTCAGAGAAGACATAGACACTTGGACATCCTATAACAAAGTTTTCTTTGGCTAATATGAGCCCCTCAGCTTTTCAGGCAGAAGCTGTACAGCTCAGAGTTGACAAGGAACAATAACACTGCCATGTATTGCCCCATGCAAGCTGCTATCTCTCAGGTTCACAACAGGAATATGGGGAACTGAAGCTGCTGCGCCTGCTGCCCCAGCATCCCAAACATGGTCCAAGAAGTTGATTCAAAAGCAGTAAGATCACCCCATGGCTGTTAACATGCAGGAGAACTAAACCTCAGCTTTCTGTGAGGGGTGATGTAGGATGGGACGTGCAATGGGAATGTCCCCATGTCTTGGACTCTTTTCCTAGACAGTGTCTACTTTCGAATCCGTCAAAGCCCCACCATCATAATTTCTAGGACTGACAGTGGGATGCTGGGCTAGGTAGAACCTTGATCTAACTCTAGGTGACTCTTCCTGGATTATCCTATATCAACTAGATGACTAGACCACTGTGTAGGAGAACAGGACACTGCAGAGTTGGCACTGCTCTAGACCATGACCACCCCAGTGGCCATGGGGGTCCTGACAGGCCACCAGAAATTAGTTCAGTCATCTTTTGACAGGCGTCCAGAAAGACAAGGTATAGCACGGGGAAGGGATCAACTTACACTGAGAAGGGCTTCCAGCAGCTTTCCAGTGCCATCCACAGCGAGAAGAAAGTCATCAAAAAATGGTATAGTGACTTCCCTGTTTTGTATGGAAAGAATGCCGATGGCCTTGAAGACAAAGTCCATGTCCTGGCTTTTAGAGGTGTCCTGAAAGAATGATGTCACAGTCTCATATACACAATGTTGCACCATTGTAAAAGGTAGTCAGGCACACAGGGAGAGCTCCTCACACCTCAGAGGGACGACTTACATCAGCTAGAGAACAGAAGAAGAGTAACAAAGTCACCTCTGTAGCAGGACAGCGTAGGCTCCAAGATGTCAGCAGCTTCAGGCAGGACATTGCTCCAGCGCAGTCTGTTGAATCCCATGCTAACAGCTCCTAAGAGTGCCTGGGGGATGAACACTGTGTGGGAGGGCAGGGGAGATGGGTGTAGAACCCATGACAAAGTCCATGGCACTCGGCCACAAGCATGCCGACACCCAGTGTGCTCCAGCTAAGTCTATGCCAGACTTATGGAGAAGCAATAGAGGAGTAAAATGCAAGGCCTGCACATGAACCTATAGCAGCATCCTTCTGTCCCCCTGCCCCTCATACCCAGCAAATGTCCCCACATGCACACACCTGACCTTTCTTTCAATCACATGGAAGATGGTGTTATGTGAAAGAGAAGAACCCCTCCAAACACGGACCCAAGCTCTTCCTGCCCCACAGCATCATTCATGTCACACTGCAGCTGCACTGATCAGAAATCATGGCAGATCTGGCCATCCATGAGTCCTTCCACAAACTCTTGTCCTTGTCTTTGGTTCTGGTGTGTCTACAAGTGACTTGTACCCACTTTGCTCTAGAAGGAGCCTGTAAGAGTCAGCAGAAACTCTGGCCTTTGCCTTTATGAGTAGGTGGGCAGCACCATAGAGGCAGAGCATGAGCTTTATGTCAGTTTCATTAGAAAAAGCAGCTCAAATAATTACAGTCCAAAAGCAGTAGTCCTAACATTGCATAATTGTGAATGGTATGGAGCCAAGCGTGACAGCAATTAAAGACGAGATCCTCCAGCTGAAGGTGTCTCATTAAAAAAGGACACCCAAGGGGTCTTTCTGAGAAATTGCTCCTTGGTGGCCTGTTCAGCTTGAACAAGCTGAGGTTGTTCTCAGAACATCTTCAGGCATTCATTCATGCCTTAACAGCAGTTAGCATATGCCTCAAGGGTGGTGCAAGGGCAAGCAAAGGTTTTAAGCCATCTTCTTACCAGGTACATCTTCTTCAGCATAGCTGAGGTTGCATTCATCTGCAGCCACCTTGGACACATGAAACATGTGTCTCCAAACAATCGAAACCTCACTGTTCACAGTGCACATGTAGTCTTTAAGAACACAGAACGTCCCAATTCCCAACAGTTAGACACCCCGAGAACAGTGGAGGTAAAAAGAAGGAACCATAAGTATCCTGGAGAGAAAAACACCAGTGACTTGTCAGAGTATGGAGTATCCCAAATCGTAAGGATCTCTGGAAAGCAAGCAAAAGATGCGTCATGCTCCAAGTCAGCAAGCTGACAACCCTTCAGCACACTCTTAGCCAAGGAGATGATGAGTGAGATTAAATGCATTGCCATCCCAATTAAGAACATGTAAGGTGCTCCACATGACAAGAGATGTAGGAAACTGGGAATAGATGTCCACACCAGCAAGAGGATGGTGTGGTGCCACAGAGGGCTCAGAGGCTCAGGGGACCCCCAGGCATCTCCCCTGCAGGAACCACTGGCAGCCCTCTCTGTGTTCATCAACTCCACGCAGCCACTGTGTCTGGGAACTCCGGGCGGGCAATCCCCTCTGCAAGGCAAGCAGCAACCCTTGGTGCCAGGGGCTTCAACCTGGGGAGTGGGCAGCAAGGCAGGGGCAGAGGAAGGTTCTCAGGCAGAGGACCCAGTACTCCTGGTTGCCAAACTGATCCTGAGCCAGGAAAGGATGATCAGACAGGGCTCTTGTTGCACCCATCAGCCCTGCCCAGTCCTCCCCAAAGGCCCCCATGTTTTCACAGCTACTTTCATAGCAAGTATTGTCTACAACATTCAGGAAATAGCTCCTGCAAGCCTCACCACCAGGGGTGAGATTCTTGAGCATTGGAAATGCATCTGGCCACAGGTTTTTATCCCATCTTTATCCCCTGTCCTCTCTGGGTTAACTCCTGTAGCAGGAGGGTGAGAAGGAAATGTCTCCTCCATGATCTCCACCTCTTTCTTTGACTTCACCAAAGGGCCTCCAGCTCTGTCCTGACATGGAATGTCCCACTGTGACCCCAGACTATGTCACAGAGGGACTGCAAGGGCTTCTCCGACCCCCCCTAACCTCACCTGGATCCTGACAGGTTTTGCCCTACAAGAGGGAGGGGAGGTGTGGTGAGTGTTGCGGGATGCTATCCCCACCTCACTGCCCACTCCCCAAGGAGAATGGGGGGGCATTGAGAGCCATGGCAGGGGTCCCCAGATGGGGGCTCACCTTGTGCACTCCAGACGCTCGTTGGTCCCAACTGGAGAGTCTGTGCCACCACTGCTGGTGTGGGGCTGCGCACACAGTGGTGTTTCAGTTTCTGGGATATAAACAGGGCTTGGAGACCAACACGCACAGCAGCATACTTAGTCCTGGGACAATGGCAGGGCTCAGGGACCCCTTTATGGGGTTTCCCTTTATGTGAGAGAGCAGCAGGAGTGCACAGAGCTCTGCCTGGGATGGAAGAGGAGGCAACTGGGAGCTTATGGGTCAGGATTAAGGAGAAGACTGGGATGGGTGTCAGTGTAGTAGGTGCCTGCTGTAGGCTACCTGATCAAGAAGAACAAGTGCATGAGGCCTTCTACAAACAGAAGCAGCCTCACATTTGCAGGGGGATTTTAACCACCCTGATATCTGCTGGAGACAGAATGCGGCAGGGCATAAGCAACCCAGGAGGTTCCCAGAGAGCATTGGCGACAGCTTCCTGACATACATGATAGAGGAGCTGTCACAACCTGAACTGGGCTGTCCAGAGAGGATTGTGGAAGTTCTGTGATTCCCTTGGGCTAAATTAAGGTGAAGTGACACCAAATGACCAGTTAATCACTTTATTGACAGTAAACACCAACCTGAACTTGGAAAGCATAACAGTAGGCAACCTGAACCAGGAAAGCACAACGATAAGCAATGTGGGTTCTATTTCAAATACTTATAAGAGGAAAGGAAAAGGAAGAAAGAGGAGAGAGAGAGAGATATCACCACCCTTGGATCCCGCAATGTCAATAACAAACATGGCAGCGGCAGGCGCGCTGCTCCCAAGCGCAGGGCCTCCAGCTACACCGGCAGCAGGTGGGGGAAGCCAGTCTGGAGCGGGGGGGCAGCAGCGTGGGGTCCCCCCGCAGTGGGGTGCGCACGTGGCTCCTCAAAGTTGTGTCTTTTATAGGCCAGTCCCCCTTGAGTCTTGTTCCAGAATGTTCTCCATCTTCTGCGCAGGCACCACTGTGGCGTTGAGGTTGCGAGGGGTCTTTTGGGATGGTCGTGAGCCCCTTCCTCAAATGAACTCTGCATGACCTTTGGCCATCAGAGGGCAGAACTCCGAATCCTCAGAGACCCTCCCTGCTCCTCACATGTGGTGCTGTGCAGACCCCAATTTGTCACTATGGAGACCTTAACTTGCCTCACCACAATGTTTGAGACATTAACTCTTTCAGTCTCTGACAGGAGCCAATAGGAGCAGTGCTCTGCTGGACCTGGTACTTACAAACCAGGAAGGGCTCACTGGGAGGAGTGACTGATGCATCAGAAGGTTGTGCTGCCATTCAGAGGGAGAGCTGTGGGGTGAGCCCCTCCATGCCCAGGGACAAAGTGCTACCAGGATGCCGACCAGGACCCCAGTCAGAGGAGATCAGACATTCTGACCAACCTAGCTCAATTATACACAGAAATAACTGAGAAGTTCTATCACAGCATTAGTGAAGACTCTCACAATGATAGTTAAAAGGACACCAAGAGGAAGGCCTAAATAGTGCTACTTATTGTTTACAGACACAAATTTGTTAAGACACAGGCACAATTCAGTGCAGCAGCAAAGGCACCTGCTGCCAGGATCCTGGGCTGGTGTCTCACCAGGGCACAACCTTCCCTTCTCAGTCCAGGAAGGTCCTGGTCTCCTTCTCAGAGAGGGAGGAGAGCACCTTCAGCATCCCTCTCATGCTGGTGTCCACTGTCACCAGGGGCCACAGGGCAGAGGGGGAGGCACAGTCATGTGCCCAAAGCCTGGCTAAGGTCTGTCCTGGAGCAGATCATTGCCTAGGGCTTGGGGCTCTCTGGCATAAGTGAGGAGGACAGCACAGGGCAAGAAGAGTTCCCCATCTTTCATCTCCTTCCCTCATGTGCCTCTATCTCAGAGCATCTGTCAAAGAGCTCTCCCAGACCCCAGCATGTTTGAGACTGTTCAATCCACAGGAAGCTCTGCATTCCCAAATAAAGAGGTTCTTCCAGACCTCAGCCAAAAGCTTCCTACCTCTTGTGATCCTGAGCCCCCATGTCCGTTTGCACCCAGCCAGGGTGGAGAGCAACGCAGAGGACACTGTGTTCCTGGTATCCCAGGGACTGGCACTTGGTCAGCATGTTCAGAGCAGCCTATGGGGAGACAGGGCAGGGATGGCAGTGGGAGATGAAGGGTGGCTGCAAGGGGACATGTGCAGACCCCACAGCAGGGACAGGGGAGGGCAGGTGGAGCCAGCTCCCTGGGGCACACAGTGCTGCTGCACTATCCCCATGCAGATGCCCAGCCCAGGCAAGGGCCTGTCCTGGCACATCCCTCTGAGGTGGAACACCTCTGAGGCCAGGCATGGGAATATGCCATCAGAGGGACCCAGTGACTGACAGGAGCTCCATCACAGTGCAGAGAAGTGCAGGGTTGGAGGGGGAGGTTGGAAGGCATGTGAGATCATTCGGAGAGAAAAATGTCCAGGCTCATGTCCAGCACAGTGTGGCAGTACCTTGCTGCAGCGGGAAGAGAAAACTTGTCCATAATCCCATAAATAGACTTCCTCAGTGAAGCCTGCAGAGCTGGACATGTTAATGATGGCTGCCTTGCTGCAGCTCAGCACTGAGCCTGGGCTCCCCTGGGCAGCCTTCTTCAGCAAGGGCAGGAACGCCTGTGAGGAGAAGACAAGAGAGGAGAGGAGATAGGGGCATGTATGGAGGTGGCACAGGGAGAGGAGAGGACCAGCTCCTTCCACAGCGGGCAACATTAGCACTAGTGCTGGAGCATCCTCCCTTGTCTTCCCACTGCCTGAGCCCGCCAGGTTCTAGCTCCTGAGCTCCAGCCCGCAGCTCCATGAGCTTCTTGTTGAGTGAGAGTCCATGGGGCACCAGAGTGGAGGCAGGACCCTCTCCCACTGGCCCTTCATGCCCACCGGGATGGCTCAGATCAGGGAGCCAGGGCCACAGGACGGGATGCTCCCCAGAGCTGCCTGCAGTGCTGGAGGTGAGGGTCTCACCTGCCTCAGCAGCAGGGGCCCAACCATGTTGGTGGTGTAAATCTGGGTCATGTTCTCCAGCATCTCATTATCAAGTGAGTTTGGCTTTGCAATTCCAACATTGTTGATGAGGACGTTCAGCCCCGAGCACCCCCAGGTGATCCTCAATTCTGGCTGCAGCCACCTTGATGGTGGCAGGGTTGCTGACTTCTGCAGAGCCGGTGCAGGGGACATCAGTGCCCACATCCCCGTGGTGGCTTGGAGCCCCTGTGTTACCCCCAGGGATGGCAGCAGCTGGTGTCACTGCCACGGCTGCCTCCAGGCACTGGCCTCCCAGAGCGTGCGCAGCACCCGGGCACATGCTAGGGCTGCGGGGGTTGTGGTGCTGGGCAGAGAGGGGAACTGGGGATAGGGACCCCCACCTTGAGGCACCTACCGAGTGAAATGATGACCAGGTTGGAGTGGCTGAAGGCCAAATTCTGTTAACTCCTGCAAGAGAGGGGACCACATGGGCACAGAGAGGCAGGAGGGGCCATGCAGAGACTCAGCTTTTCCCAGGCAAAGTCACTCCGGCTCCATCCCTGCACAACCTCATGCCCAGCACCCTGCTCTGGCTTCCCTGCTCCCCTCAGATGGGGCTCTGTACCTCCCACACACACCACGTGCCACTGTCCCCTCCACATATCCCATGCACAGCTGGTCCCACAGCTGTCACAACCCCGCTGCCCTGTGCCATGGGTGCCCATCTGCAGCTCGAGCCCTTTGCAAACCCGCTGCCTGCTCCAACCTGCTGCACTGGCAGCGAGCGCTCCTGTCCCCCAGCACAACCCACTGTGTCCCAGCCCAGCCTCACCTGCGCTCGCTGTCCCTTGGGGTCCCGACAAGCTGCAAAGACCCACTTGGGTGGGTTTGGCATCCCCAGGAACTGCTGGACAAGTCCCAGGCTGATTCCCTGGTTGGCCACAGTCACCAGAAAGGAGCAGATGTGAAGCTCTCCCATAGCGCTTCTCCTCTCCCTGCTCCAGCTTGCATTGTTTGCTCAGCTCCCTAATGCTTCTTTATAGCATGCTCCACGGCCACCCCACCCACTCAGGGCTTGCACAAAACCCTTGGCTCCAGGTACAACCTCTCCAGCTCTTCAAACTCTCTGGGACACAGTTCCTGGCTGGGAGCCAGCCCTTGTTACCAATGGGCAAAAATTGCTTGGCTTTTTCAGGCAAACTTAGCTGACCTTGGGAAACCTGGCCCCATAATCCAGGCACTATGGGCCAGCCTGGCCAGGAGAAGCTGTCATGGGTGAGGAGGGAGGGAGCAGCATGTGGGAGGGATGCGGGATGCCCCATGGCTTGGGTGGGCTTTACAAGCTTCACACGCATCCTGTGGGCTAGATGGGCTTCCCACATCATACCAGGTCATGCCTCAGATGGCCATGAGCAGATGTTCTCTGCCTTGCTCTTGCCTCTTCCAAGACAATGCCCATTCACCAATTGTCCCATGAAAGACCCGTGGAGTGGAACAAACCCGGTGTGGCCTACTGGCAGAAGGAAGTGGACCTGCATGGCCTGCACATCACCACACTGCTGTTCATGCACTCCATCCCTTTGGGTGCAGTCCTAAGTTGAGCGGTCCCTCTGCCCTGAAGACACGGATGACTCAGGTGCCTGGGTCAGTCTCCTGCAAAGAAAAATGCCTTGGTCGAAGCCCCATTGTCCACATCACCCACAGGTGTGGGACACGGACAGTTCTGCACTAGCACCAGTGAAGCATGATGCTGCCCAGTGCCTCAGTTGAGACATTACAGATTTGCAGGGCTGGGACTGGTGCGTGTGCACATCGTGTGTTCCTGCTCTACTGCAAGTGAAGACATATCCCCAGAAACCTCTTGGCAACCCCTTGCTTTCAAGTGCTGAGTCCCAGAGCCATTGCATACGCTGCTGGGCAGCAATGGAGACAGTGACACGGCTGATGTGTCACTTTCTCCCCGGGGATGTCTTGGCAGTAGCATTAACCAGAGCCACTTCCTCCCAGCTGCAGTACCAAGTGAGCCCTTGTGCTCCAGCAACAGCTGCTTTCCTCCTCCCCACTGCTGTCTGCTTTCTGGGGCTTGGCTGGCAGATGCTGTGGGGCAGGCAGGTCCTCCCTGCAGCCCTGGGACAATCCTGCCCAGGGTACCCTCCCCAAACCCAGTCAGGGGGCATGCAGCTTGGGATAAGGATGCCCATTTGGTGGTCTAGCTCTGCCATCCTCAGTCCTATGCTTGCTTCTGACTCGGTTCTGCTCTGAGTCTGCAGCATCCTCACCCTCATATTGCTGCTGCATGCACCTTCCCCCCAAACAAAACTACCTTAAAGTATGGATGTGCCAAAGTTTGGTCTCAGGGAGCCCTCTGCACCTCAGACCAGTTGCATGATCACCATGGTGCCACCAAAACAGGCAGTCCTGCCCTGCCTCACTCACCTCCCCGTCTCGTATTTGGGCAGCTGACTCGAGGGCTTGATCAGGGACCAACCCATGCTCTGGCTGCCTCTAGGTGCAACAGGCAGGGGAGGATGCTGCCACCAGCCCCACCCAAAGTAGGAACAAAGCCCCATTACTGTGGCAGCATCCACTGCGCCTCTCCTGTGTCTGAGGTGGCATGGTCCATATACATGAGGGATTGAGTCTTCCATCCCTAGCCTGCCTTCACCAGGCTCCCCCTAGGTGATGGCTCGGGCAGTCACAGTACACATTAATCCAGCACAGGACAGGTGAGTGGTTTTTTGTCAAAACAGCACAGACCACATCTAGATCTAGACATCACGCCTTTGAGACATACTCTCATTGATAGCAATCAGTTCTTTCCCAGAGATGTTAAAAATTAATTGAATGTATATAAGGCATGTTCCTTTTCCAAAAGGCAAATTTAGCAAATAGCAGTGTTTTAAAGACTGTTTTTGCAAGTAGAGGCATGCCACAAATCACAGGGGAAAACTTCTCCGATTTGTTTTTGCTAGGCTCCTAGTGTTGAAGTATCATCACCATACACCTGTTTGAAAGGGAACTGAATTTCATGGAATCATAGAATCATAGAATCGGTTAGGTTGGAAAAGACCTTTAAGATCATCCAGTCCAAACATTAACCTAACTTTACCAAGTCCACCACTAAACCAGTTAAGGGTAGAGTAATAATTTCATGTTTCCTGGCTTGGTGGCTGGATTATTTTTTAATGAAAGTAAAAACTAGGAATCATAGAATCATCATTAAGGTTGGAAAGGATCTCTAAGATCATCAGTCCAACCATCAACCCAACACCACCATGTCCACTAAACCATGTCCTAAAGTGCCACATCTACCTGTTTTTTGAACGCTTCCAGGGATGGTGACTTTTTTACACACTGGGAGGGATGTCCCCCCCCCCGCCTCTCTGGGCAGCCTGTTCCAATGCTTGACATTATGTGAAGAAATGTTTCCTAATATCCAACCTAAACCTCCCCT